ATAGTATACATATTGTAACATATAACTGCAAGTATAAATCCTGTATATCTGAGGTTGCTGCTACTGCAAGCACTACGGGTGAAACCACGTGGTGTGGTCCACTTTGGACTAGTATGTTCTAGCTGGATATCCTTGTGTATGGCCTCCTCCGGCAGACGATTCCTCTCCCCTCACGGGGACACTTCTCGCCAGTGGGTCCAGGACGGAAACGTGATGGTGTCGAGGCTTCCCGAATACTTCTGTGGTTTGGGCTGCTTTTGCTTATATTGTTTGGACATATAACCTGTAATTAATAACATGGGGTCTGGGCTGGACGTTTGCAGGTTTTGCTTGCTCGCTTATTTGCTGATGGCACGAAACTGCCATTGGACCCTGGAACAGCCTGTTTCCAGCTTGATGTACCGTCACAAAAGGTTCCAGCAGTTGTGCAAAGCGGTAAAAGCCCCTCGATTGCAACTGAATAACAAAACCCTAAAAAGGTATCTATACTAGAATATAGAAACCCCACTGCATGCATAATCTACTGTCGAAATTTTGATATGTTCTATGCCTCACCCAACACCCGAAACCAGAACCCTGAACTCTCCCATGCGTCCGAGGTATATCGCCAGAGTTTCTGGCTCTGCAAGCTGGGGGCCGCGACGCCGAAGAGGTCGGTCCTCTGGAGCTCCTCACGTGCTGTTTTGCATTTCAGGAAATATGCCCGTTTGACAAAGCACGAGCGACAGATTTGCCGGGGAGATTTGGTGCATCGCTACACAGATCGCAAAGGGAAAGTTCGGTTCACCGGGAAGAGCGGGAAACTGAAGCGCTCCCAGTGTCTTGTCCACAGACTATATCAGAAACCCGAATAGAAACGATAGCCGCCCAGGTTTAAGTATGGGAACCCAGACAGATGAAGCCTAACTCAGTTCCGTTGCCCAGGCAGTATCCGTTTGGCTTCGCATTGCGCTTCACGAAATTGTGGCATCGATTCGCGGAGTCCTCAATCGATTGGCGGCAGGAGCCAGAGGCAGATTCCAGGGTTGCCCATTGCCAAACCAAGTCCTTAGATGGCGCTGCATGTTTGATCGTGTGTACTTGTGAGTTTGTGTGTATGCATGCATGTACATGTACAGCACATGTTTCGAGGCGATGGATGTACAAGATCTGAAGGAAGTCTTATGCCGTGAAGTGCCAAAGGACTTATGGGAAGATGCGAAGATAGGCGAGGTGATCGGATACTTGTACGGCAACAAGAACTTATACCTCACAGACCAACAGAAGCAGATGGTCCGTGCACTAGCGAAAGACTACGGAGGCTGATCTTGGCGAGCAAACACGGCTCTGCTGTACTGTGGGGCCGGGTGAGGGCATCGCTCCGACTGTGTGTATGCACATCTATACACGCATTAGCATGTGTATATCTATACATATATACATACCTTGATCTCCAAGGCTTATGTATATACTTGTAGATGAATATATATGTATATATATA